AAGCCCTCCCGCGTCCTTCTCTGGGAGCCCCCTCCCCCTTCTGGGGCAGCGGTGGTGTGGAGGCAGCCGCAGCAGCAGCCCTGAAACTTTAAACGGTGTTAAAAGTTTCTGTTTACGAGAAGCCCTTGAATTTTTAAGGACGTATCGATTCCCTCCGCCGCGGCCTTGCCTCGGTGGCGGCGGCTGCAGGCACGGGGGAAGAGGGCGGAGAGGGGGCGCAAGGGGAGGGGGTGCGGCTGGACCGGTGGGATCCCAGGCACAGAGGTCCCCAAGCCCGGAATGACAGACACACACGTACCAAGGCACAGCCTCAGGCACACAGAGGCCCCCTCCCTGAGTCTCACACACACCTAGTCACACACAGACTGACAAGGCCTGACACACACAGACACACAAACCTGGACACACAGAGACTCCCTCCCTCACACACACACACACACACACACACACACACACACACACACATTTGGTCACACACAGACTGACATGGCCTAAAACACAAAGACATGCATCTCCAACACAGACACAGAGCCCCCTCCCTGACACACACACACACCTTTGTACACACACTCCAGTACATACAGACCCTCATCACTGCCCCACACACACACACAGACACACACATTTGGTCACACACAGACTGACATGGCCTAAAACACAAAGACATGCATCCCCAACACAGACACAGAGCCCCCCTCCCTGACACCACAGCACACACCTTTGTACACACACTCCAGTACATACAGACCCTCATCACTGCCCCAGACCCACAGAGAGAAACACCCAACTGGTGACACCCATTGACACTTTCTGCCCCATAGACCCTGATCACAAACAGACCCACTGGGACCCTCAAACACTCACCCCCGTGGTCACACCCACCCTGACACACATGGAGAGACCTGTCTCCCTGCCAGAGAGCGCGATACTCAGCACACACAGTGACACCTTGTGACAGCAAGCCCCTCAGGGCTGACACACACACCACCCAGGCACCCCACCTCCAGCACTTCCCATTGGGCCCAGACCGCCATCAACCGACCTTTCTACATCTGACACCCCGGGAATGTCAGCCCTCAAGGGCATAGTCTTTTGTCTTCCACCCTGCCATGTCCCCAGTGCCTGGCATAGGGCCTGGCAGACACCTTGTCTGCCTCACAGACACCCCCAGGTGCACAGCCAGCCCCAGTCACCACCACAACACACTGATTGGCATAGAAGGACCCCTGCGAATACTCTGATCTGCATCTATTGGGTGTCCCCAGAGGATGTCCAGGCCCACCCAGACACCCATGGGCACACTGCGTGCTGCTCTGCCTCGATGAGGTATTGTGAGCAGGAGTGCACCCTCTTAGGGACACATACACACACACACACACACACACACTTTTGTGCCGGCTTGCAGGAGCCCAATGGGCATTGCCACAGTGACTCCTGCACACACACATACACACACTCCTGGGCACTGACACCCCCTCCAACAGACATGCATAGCTGGGAGGGCAAGAAGGCGCTGGCACCAGGAGTTGTGTCTTAGCAGGAGCTGCCTGGGGGCTGCGAGCACTGCCTTTTTGTCTATCCTGGGGGTCACCCAAGGGCCCCCCCACCTCCCTGGGGTCCCCAGCACTACTTCTCCCCCTACTCCTTTCTGCTCTGGAAGTAGGAGTCAGGGGCCTGCAAGAGGGGTGGGAAGCTCACTGCAGCGGTGTATATGTACGTGGGCCCCCTTGCCCATTTCTGTCCCTGACAGCTAAGCTGTGTCCCCTGCTGCATTTGTGTATACCCATGACCAGGGCCATGTTACAAGTGTGTGTCTTGGGGGGAGCACGCAAGGGGCCTGGGTGTATGTGTGTGATACCTGTGTGCATGGTGGGGTGATTCTCCCAGGGGGGCTATCAGCTACCTGGGTATCAGGACAGTTGGTCAGTGTGCCCAAGGCCTGGGGGTACATCCGGGCAACACAGTGTGCAATGGATGTGCTTGTGTGTTGTGCTGTGACAGCCATGTTGGTTTGTATCCGTGACACTTCGTATCTCTTTGTATCACAGTCCTCCCTATATTGTTTGGCAAGTATGTCCAGGTGTTTGATGGTGTGTGTGTGTGTGACGATGCATCTTCCTTTTATCAGTGTCATTGTGTATGTCGGGGTATATTCCCACAACTGCCAATGTGTTTTGGTGTGACTCCATATGTGTAGGAGTTGTGTGTCTGGAATGTGTCAGGGTATGGTTGTGTGACTGTGTGTGTGTCAGTGTCCTGCAGGAACATGTGTCAGTCAGTGTATGTGCATCAGTGTGAATCTATACATGTCGTCGTGCACTGGTGTGTCTTGGTGTCTATCAGTGTGTGTCTATGTGCGGTCTGTGTTGTCCGGCGTCAGTGGGTCTCTGTGTGTCTATATGCAGCTGGTTGTTGTGTGCGTGGGCACCATCATGTGATGGTGCATGTCAGTGTGTGGGTCATGGGTGGTTTCCCAGACTTGGTGTGTGTGTTTCAGCGCGTGTGTAGGGGTTGTGTGTCAGGACGTGTGTCTTGTGCTTTGTGTGCGTTGTCTGAGTGTGTTTTGTTGTCCGAGCGTGGAACGCGTGGCCATGCGTTCTGTACGTGACATGTGTGGCGGGGTCCGAGCCCCGCCGCGTGTCAGCGTGTGTCTGCGTTGGAACGCGGGCCAGCACGTGTCGGGGCGGCCGCGTCGGTGTGCGCCCCCGCGCGCGTGTTTGCATGCGTTCGTGTGTGTGTGCGTGTGTGTGTGCATGTGTGTGCGTGTGTGCGCCGGCCGCTGCTCCCCCGCCCTGCCCGCCCCTCCCCGCGCCCCTCCTCC